TATACAGTTGGGTAACGTAGAACGGAAATTTGAATTTGAAATTAATAGTTGTTGCCTACAAACTTATGCATGTATAGGTTTTTCATAGGATTTTCAGCCTAGAGTTTTCTGTCAAGAAATATTTTCTGTGTTATCAACAAAAACGACGGGGATTTGCTTTTTTTTTCAAGCAGTTAAAATTTTTCATTGCACTTTTTGGTAATGCAACTAATGGCCCCATAATGGAGAAAGGGCAGGATTTTTTTTAGAACCAGTTTTTCCCACATATTTTTGAATTTATTCAATTTTTTAAAGGGAATAATAACCTATTTGAATTTCCCCCCTCCCCACACATTAATATGGGGAATTTGATGAATAGGAATGCATGCGATTTAATGGACGGAAACATTCTTTTTGGGTTATTAGCCTTCATATTTTCTCATAAATTATGTTTAGTGTTGAAGCTTGCCCCTGATTACATGAAAAAAACAGATTATAGGTAACATACCATCAAAATGGCAACTGATCCAAGTAAACACCCAGTGTTGCTCGTGTAATACTCGAGTAACGCACATTTCCCAACGGTGTCCGCCCACTTATACAAGTAACGACCGTTCCTAGATCACAGTGCGGTACTTTACGGGTAGAATAATTACTTTTGCTAAATGTATTTCAATGTGTCCTGCCAAAATGTTAGCATGTCCAACAATGGCGAGCAGGGTTTTTAGTGGTTTTCCCTCTTTTGAGGATTGCTTAGAAGCAAGATGGCGTGGTTTTAAACGAAATAGTACCAATTTACCATCGAAACAAATGAAGAAATCGTAGAAGGATTGGTTATCTCACTGGTGGAATGGATTTTAGGTATGCGAATGGCGCTACTTACTACTGCGTTAGCTCTGAAGAATTTTTCTAGCTTTTTGAAATCATGATTTTATGAATCCGACGATTTTTACTTCTAGTTTTAAATGGTGATTTTGATAAGTTGTATTTTTGGTTTGAACCGAAAATCGTCATTCTGGGATCATGGTTTAATTTGAGTTTTTTTCTCGTGGTTTTTATGAATTTTTGGTAGTTATTTTTTAAATTACCTGCTGTCGAAAATTTCGAAAAAAAAGTCGTTTTTGCTTCGGACCGATATGAGAGAGTTTATGAAAATATAATGATGCCGGTTTAAAGTAGTACTTATAATCGTTGTTTCGATACAATAAACCACATATGTTAATGCCCGGACGGGAAACAGGTTTTCTGTTGTTGTAGGTGCGATCGAAAATGGGTTTTATGCGTTTTTTTTTCGAGTTGTGCCCCTAATCGAATTACTGTTTGCAGAAAATAACAATTATTAAAAATTTGACGCATTAAAGCGATGAGGAGAGAAAAAATTGCTAGAGGAATTATGATAACTATGAAAAAAATGAACACGATTTTAGAAAAATACTAAAAATGGGAAAAAAATCAATATTTTAAAAAAAAAATTTCTTCTTGCACATGATACATAGACACATCCCTTATCAGGAGAATTCTACTGTTTTGAAAAAAAAATTGAATTATTTTTTCCAAATTTTTAATTGTGAGGGGAAGTTTGTGCCCCAATTTTTCGCGCACTTTTGGATTTTGATTGGTGCTGCTTCATCAGTTTTCCCAATAAAAACGAATTCATTAAAAAAAAAATGCTAACGAGTAGTCGTTGACAGATTATTTTTTTTTTTTTTTTGAGGTATTAGGGCGTTCAAGTGACGAAAAAGTTTTGTAATTTAAACAAAAAAAGCAAGAAAGGTCCTCTTCGATATCAATTCTAATTTGTAAAACTTTTTTCCGTAAACCAAGCAAATATTGAGGGCAGAGCTACTGATGCAGTTTTTATTGAAAGTGAAATAAATTCTACTCATATAGTTCTTCAAAAATTCTGCATTTTCTTGGAATTTCGCAAAAAAATTGATTTTTCCTGTCGCATTTCACAATAAAAGATTCGGATGTATGCATGTTTTCTTCACAAAAAATCATTTCCCTCGGCAATGTTTGTCGTTCTGATTGTGAGTTAGCTCTGCGGGTGGTTGATTGTATGTAGAAGAAAGTAAAAAGAGGGCACCAGGAAACTGGTTCCTATTATTGAGTAAACACACTGCATATACACTCAACAGCAAGCGGGGAAGAGGGGGAAAAGTAAAAAAAAAAAGAGTGGCTTTCATTGGAAAATACTCGAATGAAGTAAATTTTTTGCAAAAAAGCAACAAATGCCAACTTTATTAACAAATTTAACAACAATTGTTCATCCAGATACTTAAAGTACCTGGAATTTTTGAAAAAACGCATGAGCAGAATTGGCAATTTTTTGTGCGTTTTTTTGCTACACAACAGCTGCGCAAAACGCATATTGTCACGGGGTTGTCTGTATGTGTGTGTGCGTGTATGTGTATGTGCGTGTGTA